ATGGAGACGGTCTGAATCCAGCAGTTGGTACCGAACGCTGCAGGCAGCCTGAAACGTCTTATTTCCTGACAGTTGGAGCTGCCGAGCGGGGAGCAGACTACCGAGCTCTACGGTAAAAACACGAGGCTTTCTAAGAAAAAAGGTTTCGTCTTACAGCAGGAAATAACGGAAGGCACGGATAATTTCCTGCAAGAAGTCTGTTATACCAGCTGCATGAGGACGGATCCTCGAGTCCGGAAGAAATTCAGATTTAAATTTTTAATTTTTGGGTAAATATATAAAAATCAAAAGCCGGATGTGATCGGCTGGTGTTCGTGCAGTTTTAGTGTCAAACTGTGGATTTGTTCAGATTTATTGGCGTTTTTTTGAAAGATAAATTATATTATCGGTTCAACTTTAACTTGGACATCATACCACTGAGTCTGATCACCCACCCATAAAGAGCGAAGGTGGGCGATCATGTTTTGGGGTATTTTTAATGTCTATGACCAAAATGCCTCGTGAACTACTCGGCAAAATTTACTAAAAGTTTCAGTGCGCAATCATTTGACGAACCTCTACAACTAACGTCTGGAGTCAACCTTATTTAAAATGGCCGTCACAGCTCTTTGGAAACACAACAATTGTTAAAGCTCAGCCGGTTTTACAGCTTCTGAGCTAAAATCTGGTGTGGTAGTAGCTGAGAGTTGTCCTCAACACAGAAGATCTTGATATCACAACTACAACTTCTGAACTTCAGCTGATTTTATTTAGACTTTGGCGTGAAAGGTGGCGGGTGATATGCATTCCTTTAAGGAATGTTGGGTCTAAAGATGTTTGAACTCCATCGTCATTTCTTGTCTATCTCCTGTCAAATGTCCGCTTGTGTCCCCACTGCCTTCAAACACTCTGTCCAACCCTGATAATAAAAATAAATAAAAAACTGTCATTTGGATCTAAGGTTAATAAGTCAGGTCCTCTGGACGGATTCTGTTTTGTTGAAACGTTTCGTCTTTTATCCAAAAGACTTCTTCAGGATGAAACCCTGCTAGAAAGTCTGTCTTATAAATGACACTTTGTCATGGACCATCCAGTTTTCTGCTGACAGCCAGAACCAGCTGTTCACATGCAAAAGGAGGACCATCAGCATAACAATGGATCATTAGCACCTGATGGCTGTTTACTACTCACAGAGGGCTGAGTGATTCTAGCAATCACAGCATTGTAAGAGGGGGACAGTTGGACACAGAGGCTCCGCCCCTGTTTAACGATGGACGGTTTATTTTCACAAAGATGGCCTCCTTTACTCCTCTCTCAAACCATCGTTCCTCTCTGTCCAGGATGTGCACATCTTCATCCTTGAAAGAGTGACCGCTGGCCTGGAGATGAGTGTAGACCGCAGAGTCCTGGCCTGATGATGTTGATCTTCTGTGCTGGGCCATCCTTTTGGCCAGTGGCTGTTTAGTTTCCCCGATGTAAGACTGATCACCCTCCTGACACTGAACAGCATACACAACATTACTCTGTTTGTGCCGGGGGACTGGATCTTTAATGTATTTGGGGGTTTAAAAGCCACTGGGACGTTATGTTTAGAAAATAAACGTCTCAGTTTCTCTGATACTCCCTCAACATATGGAATGACCACAGGTCTGGGTCTGGGTTCCTCCTTTTCACCTGATGGCTGACTGGAGTCCTGTTTGGGTTTCTTCTCTGCTTTCAGGAAGGCCCAGTTAGGATATCCACATTGCTCTAGAGCCTGTCTTGTGTAGGATTTCTCCTTCTGCCTGGCTCCTGAGCTAGTGGGGACGCTGTCTGCTCTGTGGTACAGAGTCCTACTTGTGCTCCAGGGGGTGATGGGAGTCAAACTGCGAGTACTGGTCTGTGTGGGTGGGTTTGTGCTACACCTCGGTTTCCAAATGTCAAAAGGTTTCACCAAAGAAGAACCTGCCCAGAGGACCTTCCTGCTGAGGCTCATCTCAAAAATTAAAAGCACCGATTCCAAACAAACGTCTCCTTTTAAAATAAAACCCATCAGCACGAGGAAACAAAAAGATAAATTAGGACGCAGTCTTCCTAAACGGAGCCTCTGTGACCTTTGCTTTAGGAGGAACGACTCAAACTGAAGCTGCAGGCAGCGTCTTCGAGCACGGGGGCCATTATTTGACTCCCCACGCCTGAAATATGGAGAAAAAAAGACGTTGAGTCATTTCATTATTCATGGAGCTACAGACGTAGAACATTACTTATACATTAGAGTCTGAGCTTGTTCTTTTTTAGCTTCCAATGGTCCATTATTTAAAGAGACGAGCCGAGACCAGCGGTCATGTTTTAAAGATCACTGCAGCCACTTTTTATCAGCTCTAAATATTCGTTTCTGTCCCGCAGGCATCAACTCCACGGGACATTAAAGGAAAATTGTCTTGATAATTTTAAAAAATGACTTGGAATTGATTTTTTTTTTTACAGAATGTAAAACGTTGCCGGTGGTATTTATCGTGCTCTTCGGCTGATTCAGGTAATCGCACGTCTTAAAGCAACAGCTCCGCGCTGCATTAACGACGTTTTAAGCTTTGTTTGGATTTTTTTACCCACCGAGTGTGAAATATACGACCCTGAGCTGAGACTTCCTGAGGGCGACCTGTGGAGAAACATGGAGAATACTTAAAGCATCATTATTTCATGTTCCAGACTCTGACAGAGCTGCAGCAACAAGAGGACATGAGCTCCCACCCAGGCCGCTTTTAAACTGATCTGTTAGCTTTCAGAGTATGTGTTCGAGGTAACTCTCAGCTACTACCACACTGACTGCAGGACAGGCGTCTGAGCAGCGTTTTATTCACCTGCTGAGGTGAAAATCACCGTGAAGCTGTGGAACATCTGCCAGAGGACTGAGGTGGATTTAAAAGTCTTCGGTTTTTACTCTGGACCTGCCGGTCCTTTTGTCCCCCGTCATGGACGCTGTCACTCGCTGTCCGTCCGTCTTGTGAGCTGGAAAACTTGAAAACTAAACGAGGTCCTGGCTTCCATTTTGTCGTGTGAGAAAGGTCACCGTCAAAAACTGGGTTGCCAAAATCGAAACGTCAAAATCCAAGATGGCTGCCACCTTGGGCTGAACAGTTAATTGCATTTGCGATAAAATCGCGGTTTGATAAAAGCAGATTATGAGCGGAGCAGAGCAGGGAGGGGACAAGTCAACACCTCTGGAGGTTACACCACAAATCTTTATCAACACTTACAAAAACACCACAAATCTTTATCAACACTTACAAAAACACCACAAAGCCATTGGCTGCAATGGTTAGAACGCCAACGACCGGAGCTTCAACTTGACGTTTGCAAAGTATCAGCCGACAGGGATCACTGCCCGAACTGTTCCAAGGTGTTACTCCGTATGAACATGATTCGAAACGGCACGTGGAAATAAATCGAGCAATAACGGAGTTCATAGCAAAAGACAGGGTGCCCAAGTCCGGGGTTACGGCTTTGGTAAACACAGTGGATAAGCGGCACAGAACGCCCTCGCGCACACATTTTAGCCAAGTTGCTAAACTGGAGCGATCCAAAAAACGTGCAGAAACAGAGTTGCAGCGAAGCTGAAAACAACTGAAGCAGATGATTTATTGCTTGTGTGCGTTGAAAAATACACGAGAAGAAGACATTGAAAAATAATTGCACATTAAATTGCAACATTGAGGAAAAAAAGTCACAATTAGAATATTTTCCAAAATCGTTCAGCCATGTGTCGACAGACGTCCATATCATTAAAGGAAACTGCTTTCTAGTTTTTAATTTGCTTAAAAGTAGTTTCCTCAAATGACTGGGGCGGCTAAAGATCAGAGGTGGAAAGAGTACTGGAATATTGTACTCAAGTACAAGTACTGTTACACTACTTAAAATGTACTCAATTACAAGTAAAAGTACTGGTGTTGTAAAAATACTTGAGTAAAAGTACAAAATACTCTTCTCAAAACTACTCGGAGTATTCAACAATTTTAAGTCAGGTCATCTGGACAGTTTATTTGCTGAAACGTTCCACCTTCCATCCAGAAGGCTTCATCAGTCAAGGAAACACACAACAAAACTGATTCTTCCCTCAAACAGCTTACTCCAAAGTGGAACAAACCAGTTATGTTGGTGCTAAGATGGTGTCTTTGGCACGCCCCCTCCTCTGTTGCCGGCCCTCTTCCTCGTCGACAGTCGTGTCAAACTGGTTCAAAACCCAAAAAAGTCCATGCTCAATAATCCAGGTATACAAGTCAACATTTTTCAGTCAGGTCATCTGGACAGTTTATTTTTTTTTGTGCTGAAACGTTTCACCTTCCATCCAGAAGGCTTCATCAGTCAAGGAAACACACAACAAAACTGATTCTTCCCACGACAGCTTACTCCAAAGTGGAACAAACCAGCTCTGCTTGTGATAAGATGGTCTCTTTGGTACATCCCTCCTCCGTTGCCGGCGCTCTTCCTCGTTGACAGTCGTGTCAAACTGGTTGAAAACAACAATCTACTTAATCACAGTAATGTATGTGTAATTCGTTACTTCCGCCCCTGCTGTAGAGTGATCTACGGGGGCCTGGTAGAAAGCGATAATAATTTAAATGTTTAGGATTTGGGATGTCGTGTTTTCTGTGAACGACTTTCCTGTTCTGCTCTTTAACCTGAGGCGTAAATCGTTTATTTCTGTTTTTCTGTCCTATTCCTGTTCTCTCCGCTGACGTTCGTGTGTCAGAGCTCGGCTCCGACGCACCAAACAAAGCAGTCACGATACAAAAAGATGTTTTTCTGCTTCCTCCATCGATGCAGCGCCGCGTCACCTGCAGGACGAGCAGCGCCGCCTCTCTTTGTGTTCGTCTGGCAGCCAAAGCTCCGAGGCTTTTTAACAAACGTTCAGCCGTTTCACTCTCATTTGACGCTCGTGTGTAAAAACATTCAGGACGGCTGCTTTGCTCTGACTCTCGCTGCGTGTGTTTACAGAGTTCCCCTTCACTCTGGTTGTTTGAAGCGGTTGTTGTTGTTTACAGATTCGGAGGTGATCTATAAGAACAGCGACGGACACGTGGTCAAATTCAACATCCTGACCAACGAAACGGAGATCATCCTGACCAACACGACCTTTGTAAGTTAACACTTCCTGTGCTCAGCGTCCCGTTTATTAAATACGCTTCACGTATGACTCGCTCGCAGAAAACCGTTGTCCGGACCCCGGCCTTACGCGCTCATGAAGGCCGAACCCCGATCCTGGCAGATGGGACTAGAGCACGGCAGAAATGATTTAAAAAAACATTTTGCGTCATTTTTTTTTTTTCCATCAGTGAAGATAAAACATTTAAAAAACGGTGCCGGCTTTATCACAAACTCCTGTTTTCTCTTCTGTGAAAGTTCACTCAGCTGAAAAATCATAAAAAGACACAAAATTATTGGATCTCTCAGGAATAATTCTCTTGAACATGTTTAAAGAAGAGTTACGGCTTTTAGTTCAACTTTACTCTAACCCACAATACAATAATTTAACTTTAAAGCAAAGCTAAAAAAAACAACAAAAAAAAACAAATCTGTAAACAAGAAACAAAACCACACGTCTAAACTGAACAACAAAAGTAAACACAACGAGTGCAAATACGTCAAACGATGAAGAAAACGTGTAAAAATATTAAATATAGATGTTTTTGTAGAATCTGCTTCATCAGAGACTTAATGGTGAACTAAAGTTTATTAAAAGTTCATTAGCAGGATTTATATGTGTGTGTGTGTGTGTGTATATATATATATATGTATACATATATATATATATACTGTGTGTGTGTGTATATATATATATATATAT